GATTTAAGTATATGCAAATTTACAAAATTTCTTGACTGAAACACAAGCAAAATCTGAATAAAATATTTGCAACACATAATAGCCAAAAGGTTGATATATATATATAGAACATGTGATAAATTACTTAAAAAATACAAACTTCCTAAGGAAAATTAAGAAAGGGTTATGAAAAAGCAAGTCACAGGACAAGAATTACAGAAGTCCAATAACCTCATCCAAAATATTTAACTCACTGGGAATTAGGAAAATATAAATGAATACAATTATGCATGTATTCATAGGTACATGTTGCATTTTTTTGTTCTTTAAACAACAACTGTAAGTTGTGGGCCCATTGTTGGAAAACAGGCAGGACAGGCTGGCTGCATATCGACACTAAAAATTCACATATACTTTGACCAGCGAGTTCCAAAACTTCACATGCCATCTGCAGACAGTGTACATGAAACCAGGCATGAAATTGTATGTACACAGATGCCTAATGCACCACAAGGAGAAATTGGAAGAATTGAAATGAGCATAACTGTGGTAGTGGTTAAAAATAAGCTTATGATGGCTTCATGCCATGATGAATTCAATAGCCATTTAATAAAAAAACGAGTCTGTGGAGAGAGAGAGAGAATTGTTTTTAATATCTACAGTAGCTTGTGAACTTGGGCATATCAAAGTAAATTGAAGTCCTTCCTAAAGTTCTATGAATATCTCTATAATCTGCAACACGCCCACCGCATGCGCCAGGGAATATTTAGACTCTTTTGCCTACTTTTGTGTTTCCAGTCTTTCTACATACCTTCTACATGGCTCAAAAGTGATGTGGAAAATAAAAGGGTAGGTTTTTAATAGGTGCTCCTGGCTTTTCTTCCTTTCATATCTCAGATGCTCCCCCACAAGTAGTGATTATGCATCATGTAAATAAAGAATAGGAAAAAATGACTAATTGGGACTTGAAATACCCAGATATGGTGAAGATAGGTATAGACATAATAGATGACAAGTGTTCTGTCTTCGCATTTTATTGCACTACAATAGAGTATCACACTGATGCTGTGTCAGTGAAACACCCTGAGCGGGACCCTGTTACACAGGGCGCTCCTTTCCCGCCTCTGTGCTTTGGAGTACCTGCCTAGATTTTTTTGGAGTTCCTCGGACTCTTCAAGGCTGGCAGAGCCATATGAATCCCCCAAGCCCTTCCTGGGCCTCAGTAGGCCCAGGTGCTGTTTCTTTCCTTCAGTCCACCTCTCAGCTCTCCAGGCTCCTGCACAATGTTGACCAGATGTCTTAGGAAGCTCTGGGTTTCTTGCCTCAGGATCATCCTAAGGACCCCATGATGAGGCCCTGGTTGAGCAGGAGGCCTGGCATGTAGAAGGATCCTGCTGGTTAACACAATATTTCTTTCGCAGGATAAGAAGAAACTGGACTGCCAGAGTGGTGTTGACATTCCTTATGCTGGGGACTTCTCACTTACATGGGATTGAAGAAATTCAGAACTTAGGGCTACCAGTGGTTCACTGCTGCCCTTGGAACTGAGCTGCATGCTGGGCTCAAGGGGTAGGGGCTTCTTTCCCTTCTGTGTTTCCACAGCAACACCATCTCCAGTCTATAGCACCCAAGGGCAACAGGAATGGCAGCAGACTTTCTTTATTTTGTGCATTACCATCCTACCCTTCTCCTCTACCTGCTGTGTACCTACTGTGGTCACTGTACTCCCCACCTCCCTGCACAGGAGTATAAGTTATCAGGTGGTCTTGAGGTGGGTAACTCTATCTTCTGAGAATTTTCCAAATTGTTGCTCCTCATTTTGAAATGCTAATGGGCCCTTTGGATCAGTCAATGCTTTTTCTTGCTTAGAATGGATGTAGTGATATTGTACTCTCCTTGGTTGATCTTAAGCTCTGCTCAAAGAGGGGGAACATTCCTCGGTCAATGCGACCATTCTTGTCCGGACCAGTTTCTTCTTCTATCCTTCAGTGTGGCAGTGATGCGCAAGGGTTCTCTTTACTCCACATTTTCATCAGCACTTGTTATTTCTTATCTTTTTGATAATAGCCATTCCAAGGGGCGTGAAGTGATATCTCATTGTGGTTTTGATTTGCATTTCTTTGATGATTAGTGATGTTGAGCATCTTTTCTTGCACCTGCTGACCATTTCTATGACTTCTTTGGGAAACTATTCAGTGCCTCTGCCCATTTTTTCATCAGGTTGTTTGTTTTTTTGTTATTGAGTTGTATTAAGTTGCTTATACACTTTGGATAGTAAGCCTTTTATTATATAGATGATTTACAAATATTTTTTCTCATTCCATAGGTCACCTTTTCATTTTGTTGATCAAAAGGTCTATTTTTTATTGTTTAAAAATGTTTAAAATTTCCAATTATAAATATTGGGAAATAACTTCTGACTCCTAGGTTTTCCATTTTGACCACATTTCCTTTGTTCCATTTATTGCCAAAATCTTTAAAATAATTCTATATTTCTCTTACCTTTCCACCTCTTTCTCTCTTGAACCAGCCTTTGCCTCTTTCACTTTCTGTAATTTCTCTAGTAATGGCCCTCAAACACTTCCACATTGGACATCACTTTGTCTTGATTTTATTTGGCTTATGAGCAATAGTCGATACATTCTTTTTAAGTGAGGTTTCAGGATACCACATTACCTAGTTGTCTCCTAACTTTCTGGTCAATTATTAGTCTCTTGTATGGGTTTCTCATCTCATCAATATTTGAATTTTGGCATTTCCCAGGGTATAGGGGTTAATCTTAGAAGTTTTATCTATACTTATTCCCAAGGAAATCTCATTCAATCTCCCAACTTTAAACGCCATCTTGACATTGATGATTCCAAGTATTTTATCTCCAGCATGTACCCTTTCTCTTGAACTTTAGACAAGTAGCCAACTGCCTATTCAATCTTTACAATTAAATATCAAACCTAACATGTTCAAATTAAACTCCTGACTTGCATACTCTCACCAAATGTACAGCTTCCACAGTTTTCCCAACTCATTTAATGCCAACTCTATTTTTACAATTACCCAAACAAAAGTCTTAGATCATCTCTGGCATGCAAGGATGCAAGTCATTTCATTTTCTGTGTTCAGCAATTCTTTTGGCTCTACCTTCAAAATACATAAAAAATATGATTATTTCTCATCACACACACTCTTAACCATAATGCCCAAGAAGACTCCTAAGAGTATCAGAATGATAGAAATTAAGAAAAGATAGGAGATTTTAATGTGTTGCTCTGAATTGTGTATAAGGACCACCTTAAAAGATGGGAAATAAATGGATAAAGATGGAAATTTCCATTTGGAGGAGTGAATAATATAGATAATAATTTTATTGAGTATTTAATGATAATATTATTATTTATAGATGAAAAAACTGAGAGCTAGTTTCATAACTTGTTTAAGATTAGATGAATTAATAATAGAATTGATTCTATGATTCTCCTCTAGGATTAAAACCAGAAATGCCTTCTTCCTGAAATCTCAGTGTTTTCCAGTTAAGTATTGAAATAAAATTCAAAACCACATAATTTTAAATATTAAATGTCTGCTTAAGAAGACAAGAAATAAGTTGGAATGTCTAGGATAAATGTTTCATTATTTTCCAGTATTTTGAGTATAGTTACAAGCTTGTTAAAGCTTTGAGGAGTGACAAAAGAAAAGGATATGATACTTTCTAAATCCTTGTAATTTACTTGAAATATAGCTGTGGGTCGAGGAGAGAAGCATCTATAGAATCCAGAGCACAGTGCAATATAATATATAGTCCAAGTACATGATATGCTGCCAATACCTTGGTTAGAGCTCTAAGACTGAGCATTTAAGGCATTTTTCTTTGTCCTTGATTAATAAACTCAATTAGGATATTGAGAAATGGGGATTCTGGTCATGGATCTGTCATTGGCGATAAGTATGCACAAAAACTCAGTTTCCTTCTCTCATTTTCCCAGGGTTCATTTCCCACACAGCCAGATTTTGGCTATCCTCCTTGCTTCTAACTTGCTCAATCTACTTGAATTAAACTTTTTTTTTATTTGGGTGCATATCACTTAAATACCCAGTGGCTATATGATGGCTGTCCTTATGGTACAAAATGTTTAAGGTAGACATTTCCACTAGGTTCACTAGATCCCAATTAAAAAAAAAAAAAGCAATACTCTTGGGCCAGTTGTTAAGTTAGTTTTAAAGAACATGATGACTAGAAAATATGTTCAGGAACCTGGTAGAATATTGATAAAGGGTAGATTTTCCTCTGTTTTTAGCTGAAAAACAAACTCCAGTTTCCATGTTTCTTCCCAAACTTTTAACACAGCAGAGACAATTTGTGCTATCTGGTACTTATATTGAGTCTGAAATAACAGATCTTGACATATTTTCCATTCTATTCTGACCTAAGAAAAAAAAATGCCACGGTAATGTTTTACGGACATAGACTCTCTAGCCAAAGTTCAGATTGCATTTAAACCCAGTTTGATAGTATTAGTATTAGGTAGTATTGAATCAGTATGCCTTTTTGAATGAGCAGGACCTGTGAGGGGAGAATAGCCGATGAATATCTCCATGCTGTGTTGTAGTTCATGCATTCATCTTAGGATTCCTGTTTCTTAAGATCAATAATGTAGTGATAATATTTAGACAAGTGATGAGCCTATGAGTATTAATTCTAGTGAATCAAATTTCTAATGAGGTCATGGTAAAGTTGGGAAATGTTCGATTGTGTAAGTTTAGGTGAACGATCAATCAGAAGCAAACATGGTATCCATATGATAGGAAATTAGAACCAGATAGGCCTCTATGAAAACCTCTAGCTTAGAGAAAATAGGAAAGGTCCAACCTCATCCCAGTGAATATGTAATTAACATCTACACAGGGAGGTACCAATTGTGGCTTATGTGTTTATTTATTACAGAGGTTCTAATTATATTCTTATACCTTTCTGCACTGGTACACACACGACTTCTTTCATCAGAGGTACATCTTTCTTTTCAAGATTATTTTTCCTCATAGAACCTCTCAGTACAGCAAATCTTACTTGGTGAGGAACATATATCAATTTGCTTTTCACGTATAGCACAGTTTCTCTTACAGCAACCAAATATTTTGAGCACTAGCCAGGATCCACCAAGGTACATGTAGCTACAGTAAAAGCAGAGTAACTGAAATTACTGATTTCTTACTTGAGAACACATTATTTCTGATTACAAGAAGTACTATGTGTACATTTTAAAAAATCTAGAAAATATCAAAAAATAAGACATTAAATTATGTATCTCCATATATAACTGAAAATTTTAAATTAATATGACTAAATTTTATGCCATATATTATTCTCCTAAACAAGATTCAAGATCTTTTAGAGCTGCATAACATTCCCTTGAAATTATATATGACAATTTATTCAATCTTTCAACAAGGTCATGTTCAAACTTTTAATATTTTAGGATTATGATAAGCAAATTTGTATTGTATTGTGATATTTACATGGTATATATATATACAATAGTTGTGAAAGAATTACAGTCTAGGGTTCTTAATTTACACACTGCCCCTAACAATGTATGTAAATTTTTCCCCAAATAAAATGGTATCAATTGCAATTTTAATTTTTATGCCTTTTGTTATTTGCTTTGAACAGTTTTTTCTACTTCTTAATTGTTCATATACTTTGTTATTCACGTAACTATTATTAGTGAATCCATAAGAGCTCTTTTTTATTTTTCAAGACTTTTTTATTGAAATATAGTTGATATACAATCTTATACTAGTTTCAAGTGTACAACACAGTGGTTCAACAGTTACCCATATTATTAAAACCTCACTCCAACTATTACAGTTACTATGTGTCAGCACAGTTACAGAATGATTGACTATATTCTCCATGCTGTACTAACATCCCTGTGACCAACTTATGATTGAGAAATTTTATGCTCTTTTGTTACCCTCATCCTTCCCATCCACCCACCCCAACTCTTTCCCCCAATGGTAACTACCAGTCACTTCTCAGTGTCTATGAGTCCACCGATACTTTGTTCGTTTTGTTTTTCTTTATTTGTAGATTCCACAAATAAGTGAAATCCTGTGGTACTTGTCTCTCTCTACCTTGCTTGTTTCACTTAGCATACTCTCTAGGCCCATCCATGTTGTAGTAAATGGCAGGATTTCTTTCTTTTTTATGGCTGAATAATATTCCACTGTGTATATGTATCACATCTTTATCCATTCATCTTCTGATAGACACTTAGTTTGCGTCCATATCTTGGCTATGGTAATAAATAATGTGGCAATAAACAATAGAGGTGTATATCTTTCTGAATCAGGGATTTTGTTTTCTTTAGGTAAATTCCTAGAAGTGGGATTATTGGGTCATGTGGTATTTCTATTCTTAGTTTTTTTGAGTAATCTCCATACTGATTTCCACAGTGGCTATACCAATTTACATTCCCACCAACAGTGTAGAAGGGCTTCCTTTTCTCCTCATCCTCCCCAACACTTGTTATTTCTTGTCAAGACTTTATTTTTTAACAGCAGTTTTAGTTTTCTAATTGAGAGGAATGCACAGAGATTTCCTATGTATTATTACCTGCCCCCATAAATGCATAACTTTATCAACATTATTTAATACCTTCTACCAGAATGGTACATTTTTGACCAAGGATGAATCTACATTGACACATCATAATCACCCAAGTCCATAGACTATTAGAGTTCGCTCTTGCTATTGTACATTCTATGGGTTTGGGTGAATGTATGACATATCGCAATCATTATGATACCACACAGAGTTATTTTCTCTACCCTAAAAATCTTCTAGGCTCTGCCTATTCATATCCCTCCACTCCTCTGGCAACCACTGACTTTTTAAATTGTTTTCATAGTTTTGTTTTTTCTAGAGTAGTACATATTTGGAATTATACAGTATGTAACCTTTTCAGAATAACTTCTTTCACTTAGTAATATGAATTTAAGTTCCTATGTCTTTTCATGGTTTGATGGCTTGTTTCTTTTTAGCACTGACTAATGTTCTCTTGTCTGGATATACAACAGTTTATTTACCCACTCACCTACTGAAGGACATCTTGGATGCTTCCAAGTTTTGGAAAGAATGAATAAAGCTGCTATAAACATCCACATATAGGTTTTGGTCTGGACATACAAGTTTTCAACTCCTTTGGCAATACCAAGAAGCACAATTGCTGGATTGTGATAACGGTATGTTTAATTTTGTAAGAAACTTCAAACCATCTTCCGAAGAAGCTATACCATTTTGCAATCCCACCAGAAATATAGAATTTCTGTTGCTCCACATCCTCACCAGAATTTGATGTAGTATTTCAGATTTTGATCATTCTAATAGTTGTGAAGTACACTTCATTACTTTAATATACATTTTCCTGATGACATATGATGTGGAGCATCCTTTCATATGTTTAATTGCCATTTGTATGCCTTCTTTGGTGAGGTGTCTATTAAGGTTTTGACCACTTTTTAATCAGGTTTTTTTTGTTTTCTTATAGTTGAGTTTTCCCAGTTCTTTGTATATATCAAATATATTTTTTTTCCAGCCTGTGACGTGTCATCTCATTATTTTGTCATTGTTTCTCATAGAACTTTTTAATTTTAATGAAGTCCAGAATACCAATCCTTTCTTTCATGAATCATGCTTTGGTATTTTAGAAAGTCATCACTGTAAAGAAGGACATATAGGTTTTTCTCCTGTATTCTATATTTTGTAGTTTTGAATTTTACATTTATTTCAATGAACTGTTTTCAGCCACTTTTTTGTAAGGGGTGTAAGTCTGTTTCTAGACTCAGCTTTGGTATTTTAGAAAGTCATCACTGTAAAGAAGGACATATAGGTTTTTCTCCTGTATTCTATATTTTGTAGTTTTGAATTTTACATTTATTTCAATGAACTGTTTTCAGCCACTTTTTTGTAAGGGGTGTAAGTCTGTTTCTAGACTCATTGTTGTTGCATGTGGTTGTTTAGTTGTTCCAATATAATTTGTGAAAAGACTGTCTTTGCTCCACAGTATTGCCTTTACTCCTTTGTCAAAAATCAGTTGACTATACTTATGGGGATCTATTTCTGGGTTCTCTATCCTGTCCCATTGATCTGTCTATTCTTTCACCAATATCACACTGTCTTGATTATTGTGGCCTTAAAGTAAGTCTTGAAGTTGAGAAGTGTCAATCGTCCAACTTTGTTCTTCTTTCAGTGTGTTGGCTATTCTGGATCTTTTGCCTTTCTATACGGTCTTTAAAGTAAGGTTTTTAATATTCACAAAATGCTGGTGTTTCTGTTGAGTTTCTGTTGAATCTATATATCAAGTTGGGAAGTACTGAAACTGTGAAAATATTGTAACTTTATAATTCATGAACATGGAATTTCCATTTATTTAGTTTTTTAATTTCATTCACCATAGTTTTTTAGTTTTCCTCAAAAAGATCTTGTGCATATTTTGTTAGATTTATACCTAAGTATTTAATTTTGGGGATGCTAATGTAAATGGTGTTGTGTTTTTAATTCCAAATTCCACATGATCATATGGGTATATAGGAAAACAATTGATTTTTGCATATTAACTTTGTATGTTACAAGCTTGCTACAATCATTTATTAGTTCCTAGAGTTTACTTGTCAATTCCTTTAGATTTTATTCAGAAATGATGTCATCTGTGAAAAATGACAGTTCGATGTCTCCCTTACCAATCTGTATACCTTTTATTTCCTTTTCTTGCCTTATTGCATTAGCAAGGGCTTCCAGTATGATGTTGAAAAGGAGTGGTGAGAGGGAAATCCTTGTCTTAGCTGATCATGGTGGGAAAGCTTTGAGTTTATCACCATTAATTATATTTAGCTATAGGTTTTTAGGAGATAGTCTTTATCAATTTAAGAAAGGTCCCTTGAATTCCTAGTTTACTGAGTTTTTATCCTTGAATGGATGTTGGACTTTGTCAAATGCTTTTTCTGCATATAATGATATGAACAGATGCGATTTTTCTCTTATAGTCTGTTGACGTGATGGATTATGTTAACTAATTTTGGATGTTGAACCAGCCTTGCATACCTGGGAAAATCCCATTTGCTCATGATGTATAATTCTGTTTTAACATTGTGGTTTTGATTGGATAACTTCTATTGAGAAATTTTACATTTATGGTCATGAGAGATATTGGTTTATAATTTTCTTTTTTGATAATGTCTGTGGTTTTGGTATTAGTGTAATGCTGGCTTCATTGAATGATTTACGAAATATTCCCTCTGCTTCTACATTCTGAAAAGATTGTGGAGAGCTGGTATACTGTCTTCCTTAATTGTTTGACAGAATTCACCAGTGAACCCATCTGGGTATGGTGTTTTCTGTTTTGGAAGGTTATTAATTATTTATTTATTTCTCTGAAAGATAGGCCTATTCTCATCATATATTTCATTTTCTGTGATTTTTTTCATATTGTTTCTTTCAAGAAATTGGTCCACTTCATTTAGGTTATCAAATTTTTGGCATAGCTTTTCATAGTACTATTTTATTATTCTTTAATTTACATGGGATCTATAGCTTTGCTCCCTCTTTCATTTCTGGTATTAGCAATTTGTGTCCATTCTGCTTTGCTTAGTTAATCTGTCAAGAGGGTTATTAATTTTTATTGATCTTTTCAAAGAACAAGCTTTTGGTTGTGGTATTTTTCTATTGATTTCCTATTTTCAGTTTCATTGATTTATGCTCTAATTCTTACAATTTCTTTTCTTCTGCCTACTTTGGATTTAATTTGTTTTTCTTTTTCTAACTCCCTAAGGAAAATTTATATTACTGATTTAGATCTTTCTTCTTTTCTAATCTATTCACTGACTGCCACAATTTTCCCTCTAAGCACTGCTTTCGCTGCATCCCAAAATTTTCGATGTTGTGCTTTCATTTTCATTAGTTGTAAACCATTTAAAACTTCTTTTGAGATTCTTCTTTGACCCACATATTACTGAGAAGTGTCTTATTTAATCTCCATGTATTTTTGGATTTTTCAGTATCTGTTACTGATTTCTAGTGACAGCATGTATTGTATGACTTCTAGTCTTTTAAATTTGTTGAATGTATTTTATGGCCTAATTGTAGTTTATCTTGGTGAGTGCTCCATGTGAGCTTGAGAAGAATGTGCATTTTGCTTTTTCGGATGAAGTAGTCTGTAGATGTCAATTATATCCAGTTGATTGATAGTGTTTTTTTTTAGTTTAACTATGTCTGTACTGATTTTCTGCCTGCTAGAATTGTCCATACTGAGAAAGGGGTGTTGAAGTCTCCAACTATGAAAGTGAATTTATCTATTTCTCTTCACAGTTCTATCAGTTTTTGCCTCACAGAGTTTCATGTTCTGCTGTTAGGTGTATACACACTATGGATTGTTATGTTTTCTCAGATAATTACCAAGATCTCTTTTTATATTAAGTATAATAACTTTTAACTATCTTATTTGTCACAAAAATTTTTTCCACAGTTATTGTTTTCACTTTGTTAATGGTGGTGTTTAGGCAATAATAGTTTTATTTCAATAAATACATACTCATTTTCAAAAATGTAAAGTATCTTACAATTTTAACATGCAGAAATATAAAGAAAAGTTATAGATTTTTAAGGAACTATTCCACCTTCACTATATTATTGAATAAAATATTTTCATTTCTGTTTTGTTATAATATTTTTCTCTTTAAAGCAATGGTAACTGTCAGAAATATGGTTCATGTCATTTCTCCTAAATCATTAAATAATTGTCTGATTGTTTTTAAAAAATCCTGTCCACACCTTGAGATGCTTTTTACTGTATTCTTAATTAATATTGTTAAATTCTAAATTCTCACAAACTCTAGATATGTTTTGAACTGTCTTTGTATTTTTGGATATACCTATGGTTTTTTTTAAACAAAAACAAACAGCTAACCAAAACATATAATAGAAAAAGCATATAATTTATTATATTCCTTTATATGAATTTTAAAAATAAAGTAGAACAAAACTTGCAGAAGAGTACCCAAACATAAATGCTCAATTAAAAGTATTAAAAATTAAGCCATATGTATGTACAACCCAGGTCAAGAAAGAGAGCCTTCTTAGTATCATATTTGTGCTACCTTCAATCATATCTCATTCCACTTCTCATTTTCAAAATGAACCACTAACTAGACTTATATTTTATTTTGCTTACTTGTTTTAAAATTTGATATGAATGCAACTGTAGAGTGTATATTTTCATGTCTGAGTTTTCACTGAAAATTATGTTTTTGAGATTCATCTGTTTTTTTTGTAACTATAATTCTTTCATATTCATTACAATGTAATACTTTGTTGTAGACACATATTGCATTTTACCATTATCTATAGATTGCTTCAAGTTTGGAGATATTCTTGTACTTGACTTTTAGGGCAATTGTTCATGCAGTTCTGTTGAGTATTTGTCTAAGTGTGGAATATAAAGATATTGTGTCTGAATAGTTTCAACATTGTAGGTCAGCATGGTTCCAAATCATTTGTGCTACTTTAAACCCCTAGCAGCATTATATTATACAAAATTGCAGACATTCTACAACCTAATCAATGTTTGAT